CATGCGGGAAAAGGGGTGTCAGACTCGTAGTCGACCAACCCCACATCCTCAACGAGGTTGTTCGTCACTGATAGCATCCGCGGAGCGCGACGCTTGTGCTCATTGAGCCTAGGATATACATCCTTCGGTGCTGCGGACGCACTGTCCGACGTTACACCGAGTGCGGGAGACGAAGTTGGGCGATCCGTCAACTCATACTTGGATCTTGAAAAGAACGAAAGGTTGGTGACCTAAAGAACGCTTATCAAGCGCTTAGCTACGGTAGCCCCACTGCAATATTCCTGTCCCCAAACTGATAATACCGGTGACTACTGACTAGTATCAACTGATTGAGACGTACAATAACGCGTATCGTGGCTCACGTTGTATGTAAAGATTGGAGATTGAATATAAAATTGCTGCAAAACGACCGAGCGAATAAGTCTGTCCGCAAGTTTTCAATTTGTAGATTGATTCCGATGATATATATTCCCTATCGGCTGGGGTCAAATATCTAAAGCTGTCAAATAAAGTGGGTGAAAGCTTCAGAGTGTTTTCTCAAATGTCACACCTCAATTTATGTTTGCTCGCTGCATGCAAACTATTTATTGGGTGTGAGTTGCATCAATTATGGGCATTAACGTACATACGTAGTCCTGAGAACGTGCGAGAGACTAGTGTATCCACTATTTAGAGACTGTAGCGTCGATGAATAGAGCGCAGATGGCGAGACGCAGCAATTGGTCGGAGTTAACGCTGGTGAAGGATTTACTGTCGGCTCGCGTGTGTGGTAACTAACAGCCGCTTTCACTCTTTGGCCACCGTGAAATTCGTTAAATGGCATAACGAGATTCCGCATTCATAAAATGTGTCTGTCAATAAACCGGAGCTCAAACTCGGTGCCGCATCTTGCTTTTGAGTGTTGCTTCCTGTTTTATCTCGCAAGACCATTTTTTTAAATACTAATATTTACGCATCAGATTATGATTGGCTCCAATGAGTGAAATTGTAAGAGATTTGATTGGGTCCTAGCAAACTAGCACACAACATTTAGGATTACTGTTGGTTCTACCGCTATCGTCGTTGCCATGAAGCCATTGTTTGGGAAGGTTGTTTCAAATAAAATGCAAAAGTCCGTGGTGGTGGAGGTGGCCCGTATCGTAAAAGACCCCAAGTACGGCAAGTTTCACAAAAAGACAAAAAAGTTTATGGCCCACGATGAGGAAGACGCATGCGACATTGGCGACTTCGTGCGTCTTTCGGGCACACGCCCGCTGTCAAAACGCAAACGCTGGAATGTTGAGGAGATAACGCGAAAGGCTCAAGAATAAACATAATAAGCTTGATGTATCACAAGTAGCCCATGAATTAGCAAAGCAAAGGCTGAATGTAATATCAAGCTCGATTTGTTATATGATCTTGAAGTTCACGCAGAAGCCTTTTGTATACAAATGAGCATTAAACACACGTAACAGTGAATGATGCATCAACAAGGGAATTCGGTGGCTGCGTTTATCATTAATAACAATCGCCATGCTACCTACAGCTCATTATCGTCAGAGTCTGACAAGTCTGCGAAAGGGTCAAGCACCGGAAATTCGCCATTTGTCACATTGTGCGGGCGCACAAAGCCACCATACTTCTGCTGACATCGAAAATAGGCTTTACCTTTGACGCTGCCATCACTTTTGCCAACAGGTTCATCAAATTGTACCCCAACCCAGTAGCCTGGAGCGATCTCCGAAACTTCCCCAAGATACTGTACTTGTCCGAGGCGACCACCCGGTTGCACTTCACATCGGTCACCCACTTTCATATTTGCAACACTTTCGGGGCCTGGTCGAGTAATAGGATCTGCTGCTGTATGAGAGACATTCATCATGGTTTTAGGCTTCCAGTTAGGGTCTTTGGCAAGCTGCTCCTTTTTGTAAGCCCGCACAGTCTTCTCGCCTGTTTATTTAGGAAGAAACATCAATATCTATCCTAAGAATTTGATCGTATCAGCTGCAGTCTATACCTACGCTTATTGTAATCCTCCTCAGACATCTCGTATTTTTTTACAAGCGAGACGTCCTCGAGGCCGCCTCTTCTCGACAGTGAATATGGATCTTTGTCCACAATGTGCAACCGCAAACCATTCTCCACATTATAAAATCCAAGCATTTTATTGTCATCTTCTAGATGAGCGTGTACAGATCCATCACTTCGCATTATAAGCAACTCCATGGCGTCTGGTTTACTGCCGGTATGCTGGTACAATTTGTGTCGTAATTCACCGATGGTGCTGTGAAGATCCAGCCGAATATCGACCATCTGCAGCTTAAGGTTGCTATGCGTAATAAGGAGACAAACAACAGTTTCCGGAACATTGTCATACTGATGTCCATCCATCGCCGTCACATATTGTCGCAGTGCACGCATATCCTGTGCCATGGTAAGCTTGATTATGCTTCGGCTAAGTGCGAACATTTTACTAATATCGATATAAAAGATCATTATTGTTATGGTGGAGCTGCCGACAGCAACGGTGCTCAGGGCGCATGACGTGGTGTTGATCGCCGTCATTATGTTTGCAATAGACCTTACTATGAAGATATGGAATAGTCGTAGATTGCAGCTTTCGCCAGTCGAGCAAAAACTGCTGAACGAGTATAACACACAAGTTCGACTTGTGAACCGCCTGAACTCGGTCGAAACGTTTGTTGAGCAGGCTAAAGCCACGCGCAAACTGAACTCGTTGAAGAAAGAAATGCAAGAGCTTGCAGGTGGTCTGGTAATCAGTTAGACTGGAAGAGTAATATTAGTCTGACTGATTAATGGATCTGTTCTACACTGTGTCACGTGACAGAGGAGCGGCTGGCTGCAAGCGCGCCGTCAAATTTCCGGAAGCAATTTGACCGCATTCGGACAGTAAGCTTGCATTTCACACAAGGACTGATCCGACACTTGTTTATACGTGCTGTGATTTTGCTCTTTTAGCCTGCGCTTATGGGGCTCGTAATGTTATATTACTGGAATGAGCCTCTTGTGGTCTTGCCACAAGGTTGTATGATTCCGGTAGAGCGTTTCATGTCTTTTCCAGGCTTTCCTCTAGGTGCCATCTCTGCGATAGGCTGGGTTGGAATCTGCCGTCGCGTTAGCGCCAAGATCCTGTGCTAATTGGTCTGAGTAACAAATGAGTCAATGAAACTTTTTGCTGCATTGAGCTGCTTAGTTCACTCACGAGTGAGGCTCGGTCCTACCATCCCATTTGATACAGTGACGACTAATGCCAGGCAATCAGAATCCGACATATTTTTGATTGACAATGAAATTTTGAGTGATGCAAATGACGTCATATGCGCGTAATCGATTAAGCTGAAGTTATGACAAAATTAAACTAGGAAGAGTGCATGACACGTTGCATGACGACGACTAGTAGTCCTCGTCTCCGCCAAACATATCCATGCCTCCACCCATGTCGACTTCTTCTTCCTCCTCGACAACTTTCTCCTCCACCTTGGCAGGGGCAGCAGCAGCACCAGCACCGCTGGCAGCAGGGGCAGCACCAACCGAAACGGTAGCAAGCTTAGCTTTGCCAGCCTCAATCACTTCTTCGATGTTCTTGCCCTCGAGCTCCTTTAGAAGCTTTTCGGCCTGTTCCTTGTCGAATTCACCGCCAAATGACTTCACAACCTTCTCAAGGTCAGCCACAGTAGGGGTCGCATTACCACCAAGCACACATAACAGTAAAGCAGCAACGTGACGCATCTAGTGTAGCAGCACCAATGACAAGGCATTAGAATAAAGTATTAGTAACCTTCTTGGACATTTCCGTTGTTTATTAGTGCTTGATAAATCATTGATAGATTGGAGCAAAATATTGTTTGGTGGAAGACGCACCTTGTTTAAGGTGAGAAGAAGTTTCTGCTGGAAAATACCCGACGACGTCTCCAACGCTACTGTGCTGTGTGGCCAGGCTTAGTCAAAGGCTCGCGATAGCCAATCACTCTGCGATCACTACAAAACACAAGTTATCGGGCTTTCGCCAATCACAGTGCAGTCTTTATTCAGTGTTTAATTTTTATGCACGTCGACTATCTGGTAAATGTTTCGTTTCGCTGTTCAACTCGATCTCATCGTAAATGTCGTCACTCTCATTGATACGCATAGAAATGTCCACTTCTCGTTGTGTTGATGCTGCCGCATAATCAAGTGGCTTAACATTCGTCTTCAGCACCTGTAATTGCAAAGATGATGGCGCTAACAAATTCGTTGGGATGATTGAAGCTGATGCTGACTCACTTTTCTGAGCAACAACTGACTTAGCGCCCGCAACGTCGCTAGTACCGCCATGCTGTACCTGGCTGTGCCTCGCAATTCGTGGCTTCTTGCAACAAAAACAGGAACACTTAAGCAAGCGGGTGCATAATCCGTCGGAGCCGTTTTCCAAGACGAAGTCGTACGTACCCATTCCTATGCACAGCAAATAGGTGTGAAAGCCAGCCAGAAGAACAAACGAGTTCGCTAGCAATATACAAGCTACGTTGTGTATCCAAAGCAGCGTAATGACTGTTGTATCCCACCCGATCGCGGCATTGCTTATCACTTCCGACTTCCACACAGTGCACATGAGGATCCCAATTACAGTCTGAAGTGATGTTTGACATGTTGCTGACACCACGAGCCAGTAAAATGCCTCATAGTTGCTGTCTGCAATACAGGTGTTTAACCAAGTGCAATGATGGTCAAGCCCAGGGCTGTTTTTAATGCATAATCCACAATATCGTGATTCCTTGCCCGGGATTTTTAATAAAGAGGGTAATAAACTTGTAGGTTTCTGCATACAGAATTATTAGCGCTAACTTTTTAAAAAACGTATTATCAACACTCACAGGCTTTGAAGGATCCCTCACTTCGCAGATGCACCATGAAGTAATGAATATGGTCACCAACAGAGCATTTGGAAGAAGAATGGCAAGACACTATGCACAGCAATTAAAAGCTTTTGCTAGTAACGAAGCGACACTTTACATTGTATTCAAAAAGCATACCTTGTCCCTACTCAATAATGTCGTCACGAACGAAATAAAGCTCTGTGAGTATGGTAAGTCAATGTCACAAGCTGCAAAAGGTAGCGAACGGCAGTGCTTAAGCTTACCCCGATTAAAATCAGCTCAATGACCCAGCTTGTGACTTGATCTCGCGAGAAGGGCAAGTCAAGTCCAGTAGTGCGCATAACGTCTTGCTCAAGTAAACTCAAAAGTCAGAAGTTTGATAAGTGTGTATAGATAACTTCTGCACTTATGATATATTTGAATAATTAGAGAAGGCATCGTCGTTATAAATAACACAACATCAACTGTGTAAGCATTATATCTGCCGACTTCTCATCAAAGGGATGTTCGAACAAGTTCTTTTTCTTGAGATTTTCCTAACGACGTGGCGACTGTCGATGATGAGCTGATTTTGGAAATGGCAATGACGCTCGACCAATTTTCTAGTACGCGCAATGACACTATTGGACACGAAATGATAACATATTATTTTCTTTCGTCTACGCAATCTACTCATGCTCACGTACTCTCATTTTGTTCGTTCATCTGCATCAACTTTTGATTAATACTTTCTAAATAGCAAACCAGATCTGCCGATGAATCCCGCAGTGCCTCGAGTGCCGCTACTTCTTCGTTCTTGTTACCTGGCATTGATTGACTTTTTCGAATTGATCTAGCAAAATCAATAGTCAGACCATCGATACTCGATTGGTGAAAATTACCGTTTATCGTTCGACGTAATCAGTAACTAACGTGTTCACTAGACGCGTGCATGCTCTTGTCGTGCGTGAACACTAAAAAGAAGAAACGGAAGGTAAGCACTTTGGACGAAGACAGCATTAGCATGTGGCTAGAATCACGTGGAACGCCGTTGCCCAATGGACGCGTGACCGTCTCATCGTCCCGCACACAATCTCCTCCAGGCACGGTACTTGCAGCTATACGTCGCCACGGACGCACGCTCCTGTTACTCGTCATTTTGGCTGTTCTAACGTACACGTCGCTGTTCAGCTCCAGGATTAGGATTCGAACGGATGCTGGCATCAACGACGACGATATGCGTACGCCTCAGAATTGGGGTAATAACCAGACAATACTGTTGCCCTCGATGGGTACCAAGCATAACATTCGACAGCAGCCGACGCAATCGCCAATACCCATGCCTGAATCTTTTGGCATCGTTATCGTAGCCGATCTGGACAAGAAATCGAAGGATAACAGTAGCAAGAAGCCGCAATTTATGTCTTTTATCATGCACGCCACGCTCAAGGTCACTTCTAGCAGCTTAAGAGCGACTTCCAAACGCGACAAGTACTCTGTAGTTTTTGGAGACGAAACTAAGTTTTTATCGAGTATGAATGAGGCTGGACGCGGCTTTGAATTGAGCGAACTGGCCTGGTTTGGGGGCAAGCTGCTAGCGTTTGATGATCGTACAGGCATCGTTTATCGACTGAAGCATTTTGAGAGTGTGAGCAAGTCGAAACCTCTGCAAGCTATTCCAGAGCATATAATAATGGAAGGAGACGGGATTAATGGCAAAGGACAAAAACACGAGTGGGCCACGGTTAAAGATGGTGAGCTGTACATGGGCAGTGTCGGCAAAGAGTTTACTGATAACGATGGCAACATCATGGGTGATGGCAATTTGTGGATAGCAATCATGGACTCTAATGGTGATGTACACCATGAAGACTGGACAGCAAATTACGGAGCGGTGCGGAAGGCTTTAGGCTGTGAATGGCCTGGGTACGTAGTGCACGAGGCCATTGAATGGAGTCCCATACGCCGGCAATGGTTTATTCTGCCTCGACGCATCAGTACTGAAAAATACAACGATATGGACGACGAAAAACGTGGCTCAAACAAATTTATAATAGCGAGCGAGGATTTTAGCAGTATACAGGTTCACGAAGTTGGCAAGATTACGCCTTTGCGTGGATTCTCGTCGTTCAAGTTTGTTCCACGGTCTGATGATTCCGTTATTGTAGCTATTAAGAGTGTGGAGGTGGAGGTTGAACAGCACCAGACGTCTTACATTACCGTATTTGATGTTGATGGAAATGTGTTGATGGAAGAGACTGAGATTCCGGGTGCTAAAAAGTACGAGGGTGTTGCTTTTGCGCATGACTGGTCTTCATAGTCCCGCGTTGCATTCTCCCAAGAGCTGGGATTATTGCTTCACATACTTTGAACTAGATTTGCCTAAATTGATGCGTTAGAGGCGATGGACAAGAAATCTTCTCCTTGCGAGAAGCAATCACCTCATGTCAAAGGCAGGATGTCGTTTTTATAGAATGTCTATTGGTTAGTGATTTACTTTAAAGTGCTATCATGTTCTCACAAAGCCACGAGATTCCATCATTCAATCCTTCACCTGTTGTGGCCACTGTGGGTTGCACCCTTACACGACGATTAACTTTGGCGCAGTTCTCTTGAAATTCTAAAGTATCTATGAGCTCCTGAACCTCTTTTGCGCCCGGCAGATCTCGCTTGTTCAGAATAATCAACAGGCAAGCCTCTTGCAGCTGAGTATCAACAAGCATTCCATTAAGTTCAGCCTTTGCGAGCTCTAATCGCTGATCATCTGCACTATCTAAAACAAATATGATTCCCTACGTATATACATTAAAGTTAGCCCAAAAGTCATTTTGGCGTCGGATAAGAAACTTGCACCTGAGTTCCGGTAAAGTGATGCCTCCAATATGGTCTCAAAGTGTCCTGTCCTCCGACATCCTAACATAATGTCAGATGTGTTTGAAGGTATATCGAATTCTGAGCAACCTTACCCAAATATTGAGCTTAAGGCCGTCGAATTTGATGGTCTCAACGTTAAAACCTACGGTGGGAATGCTAGCGATGGCCTTCCCTAAGCGCAGATGATACAAGATGGTTGTCTTTCCAGCGCCATCCAGGCCCACCAATAGAAGCCGTCGTTCGTTACGATTCCAGTAGCGTGAAAAACTTCTTGACAGCGAAGTGCCCATGGCATGAGCGCGATATATTGCAACCTGGCCGGGTGCTTTGCTATAGCACGCTATTTTTAATGTGCGGATATTTGCGTCTGTGAGCAAGGAACGAGCAAATTTAACATCGTAACGAACAATTACAAACGAATTGTGGTATATTACGATCCGCCACTTATAATTGCCCATTTATCCAAGCGAATCACCGCCGTAACCTTCTCTCTTTCCAGCAAGAAAGTCGCGTTTACCCGCCCCAATCTTTCGAACTTGTGAATCAACTTTTGGACAGTCTGTAATTCGGTGCCCAAGACCACCACAAAATGCACAGCCTTTCGAGCCTGTGGCGTTCGAGAGTCCATCACCATTGCGCTCTAACTCTTCATATGGATCCTCTAGGGCCTTCAGTACTGGAGGTACGGTTTGCTTGGCTTCAACAAGCAGATGCTTAAGATCCAGCAAAGCACTCTCTGGTACGCTCTTGTTTATAAAAGTTGTAGCCACACCAGTCTTACCACAACGACCGGTTCGGCCAATTCGATGCACATAATTTTCAATTTCTGCGGGCATGTCAAAGTTGATAACGTGCTTTATATCTGGAAAGTCGAGGCCCTTGGCTGCAATATCCGTGGCAACTAGCACATCTTTCCGTCCAGTTTTAAACAGCCGAATGGCTTCGTTTCGCTCTTCCTGATCTTTTCCACCATGAATTGAAGCTGCTTCAACACCCTTCAGAATAAGATACTCGTAGATATCGTCAACATCGCCCTTACGTTCACAAAAGATTACGACAGGTGGACTCGTCTTTTGCAAACATTCCAAAAGATAAACAATCTTGGCGTCTTGCTTCACGTACTCAACCTCTTGAATAACGTCTAAGTTAGCGGCACCAGCACGACCGACGTTTACGAGAACTGGTTTTACTAGAACGTCCTTAGCAAAATCCTGGAATTTTTGAGGCATAGTAGCCGAAAACAAAAGTGTTTGTCGTTGACTTGTAAAGTGGTTAAAGGTTGTGGCAACTTCTTCATCAAAGCCCAAATCAAGCATGCGATCTCCTTCGTCCAAGCAAATATACTTACAAAGTCGTAGATTCATTTCACGTAATTTTAAAAAGTGATTTAGTCGACCAGGAGTGGCCACTACGATGTGTACGCCACGACTAGCTATCAGATCGGACTGTTGACGCTTGTCTTCTCCACCAATGCAAAGCAAACTGCGAATTTCCGGATATCCAGCATTAAATAAATGATCGGTAAAGTGCTTCACAACATCGAAGGTCTGTCGCATAAGCTCGCGTGATGGCCCTACAATAAGTCCAAAAGGGCCTTCACGACCTATAATTGGCATTTTTTTTTCCTCTTCAAGTGCCAGCATAACGAGTGGCAGCGTAAACGTGACTGTCTTGCCAGAACCAGTAAACGCGATGCCGATTATGTCTCGTCCCGCTAAAATACACGGAATTGCTTGCACCTGAATAGGTGTCGGTCGCATTATATTCTTAGCCTTTAGTGCATCTAAGATGACTGGCGGAAAGCGCATGTACTCAAACGACTTGATAGGCGGTGGTACATCCTCTCCTTCGACAAGAATGTGCCACTTTTTGCGAACTGCATCACATTCTTCCTGCGTCATATTCGAAATGCTACGCGGTGGATTCCACGTAGTTGTCATGATATTCTCGTAGTGTATCCCTTCAGCGCGCTCGTGAGCTGAAACTAGCGCCACTTTTTGTACGTAACTTGCCTCTTTGAGCATATTGACCTCCTGTGCGTCTTGCTGTGCCTTGTACTGATTCACGCCCCGCTCCTCTAACTTTTTACGCATCTCATAGGCCTGATCCAGAAGACTTACGGATGAGCGCTGTTGTGGCTCATCCAGTGCCAAATGCAACGGCGACGCTTCTGTGCTTGGTTCTTGTGTCTTCTGTCGCTTCGGCTGTTCCTCGTCCGAGTTGACGTCACTGTCGCCGTCGCTACGCTCTTGCTGAATGCGCTCATTCAGCTCTTTTCGCCTTCGCTGCAGTCGTTCTTGTTCACGCTGACGTCGTACCTTAAGCGGAATGTACAGTGGCTCCTCCACTCCATGCTCCTTCGTATCCAGTGTCATTGTAACAATATCGCTTTAATAAAACAAGGCTTTTTGCTTTTCGTAATACTATAGTCATGTGTGAGATTTTCAACACACGCCTACAGTTCCTTTCATAACTTGAACGGATGAGCAGCTTGGCGCTGCCGCTTCGCTGGACGCGACCGGCTCAATTTCTCGTGTATCTAGTACCCGTAGGTGGAATCCCGTCTGATCTGTTTGCATCCTATGTGCGCCTGCTGCAGAACCACCGAGAATTGCCATTGCGTAGTCTCACGCGGCCCGGGGGCTACGCAGCTGAATTATCTCCGTTCCGCGGCTTGGACTGGACTGGTGCTGGCTCGCTGCGCTTCCGCTTTGTTTCAACTGCTGAATGCATAGAATCATGCGATGGAGAAGATGTGCATGCGTGTAATCGCGTCATTGGTGCGCTTGGCATTTGCCACAGTCCTTCGCTCACACTCAGCGGAGGATTGCGTGCAGCTCACGCGCATTTTGAGGCATCGTTACGAAGCTTCCCGGGGTTACTAATGCACAAACTCTTTGCATTCGAGCATACATTTGAGAACGTGACTGCAAGTGAATGCGAGGGGCTCACTGACCTCGTCATGTTCCCAGCACATCACGAGTTGCAAGGCACGGGCGAGTCGACCGTGAGTCTTCACTTACAAGTTGTCATGGATACATTAGCTGTTAATATTCTCATGGCATTAGAAGGAGCGATTCGATCAGCCACGTCTTCAGCTAATACTAGTGTAATGACAAAGGGGGGAGACCTCGCAAGTGTATTGCTAGATGTCAACATAAATTCACACGCCAACGACCAAACAGTATCGTCCCCGCTGGTGTTGTCTCGCGATCTAGATAACGATATTTCATTCAATTTTCCGACTTTGAGTCCGACGTCTCGTTCTACGCTGTCGTCTGGCACGTCATTTTCATCTCTTTCGTCGTCTTTAACGCTTGATCCACGCAATCGACAACGGAAACGGCACCTGGCACGACGAGAAAAGCTACTTGGCGACTACAGTGTACTTGTGAGCTGCGTATCAGCTGCAATGGATCACTATAGTGTTGCCATTGACATGCTGCGTGACGAAGAAAGACGGAGTGGCGGAGGAGCAGTAGACGCTTTGTGGCTGGCATCGGCATTGGAAGGATATGTTTATTGTCTTTACACCGAGACACCAGAAAAACTGTCGCCTGAATTGATAGATAAAGCATCTGATGCTATCGGATTTTATGCTAAGGCAGGGACAATCGAGCTCGAAAGTTTACTGATCGAGAACATGGGGCGATATTATGCAAGTGTGGCACTGGCAACGTTGACGCGCACAGCAATGACTGGTACTGCAAAATTAAAAGAAAGTGTGTGGTCTAAGCAATTAATATGGGAAGTTGTGGAGAGAGGTTTGATGCTGTTGCCAGAGCTGCAATCACAGCGCCAGGTTGAGTTTTTAATCCAGATCGCTGGTATTTTGGACGCCGTAGGGCACAGTCGACGTGTAGCCTTCTGTTTACATGAAGCTGCAATCATTTTACTGACTCGCAACGCACCTAGTGTAGAGGCACAGTCAAGGTTACTGGTATCACCTTTAACTGTCACAAAAGAGCCGCAACGACAAAGAGACTTAGAAGCAGCTCTGTTACTTGATCGAATGGCTGCAGATTATTTGGGTATCAAAGATTCGAACGATCACCAGAATGATTTGCCTTGGGAAGTAACTACTTTATACCGAGGTGAGTGGGGTCGCCACGCATCTCAAGGGAGCGTACAATGTCATTCATGGCTAATTATTCGCTTCCATGTGCTGCGGCAACTTTTGACGATTGCAAGAATGCTAGGAGATGCATTCCTCGTTGGGACTTATTGTCTTCAGCTGCTCAAAATGTTGATATGGTGCGATTCGATCGCTCAGCCGCCCACAATAAAGAAGATACTGCCTAGTAGGGGTCCATCTCTTCTGGTGGACCATCTTCAGCAACCCTTCACTTCGCTTCGTGTGCCATTATCATCTGTTGAGCGAGCAACAATCGGTCTTCATGCTAAATGTGGGGTCTATTACTCTCCACCGCCAGGAGTTGACACAAAAGTCCGACGCAACTTTATCGCATCTCCGTCTGCCACGATGTCCAATGCAGCGGCCTCGTTATCGACGACGCTGACTAACACTCCACGACTTCTAGCTACCCCAAGGCAACAGTTTTCTGCGGCGGTGAATGCTCTGTCGACTAAGGCATCGCCAGCGTTTACACCATTTGCTCATGCGCACTCCCAGATGAACGGAGCAAAGACAAGCCGTGCAAGTGGCATAGATGATCGGATAACAATTCCGAAAATAGGAAACAGCATTGACACAAGAGACTTTGCCATGAGCGGAGATAGTGGGCTTCAAGACGTTCAAACTTGGAATGCAAAAGAGAGTGAAAGTGGTAATAAATTGGATGGAGCGGAATATCTAACAGTGTGGAATCTGCGATCGAGATCAGAGATTACAAAAATTGAAAGTAGAATTTTGAATATACTGGAGTCAGATTGCACGCCACTGCGTTCACATGGCCAAAAGCTATTACCAACGTTTCTCCAAATCGAAAGTCTTAAGTTGCGCTCCTCCTGCAATATGCAGCTTCCGTTCTTTTCTCGAAAGACTGCACTTGATATCTTTGGTCTCCACTCGACGTGTCACCAACAAAGTGTGAAGTCGGATTTCTTTTATTCGCCGTTTGCCAAACAAAATAGAAAGTGGGAGACTGATAACAGCAGACAAAGTAGAAGTGTGATCGAGTGTGACGATGCACCCGCGATTTACGAAAGAGGATTTCCCGTTCACGAGCGACTGGAGCTTCAATTGAAAATATCAAACCCTTTGGGTGTGGCTATTAAGCTTCAGGAAGTGAAAATATGGGTCACGTATAACTCTGACAGCAGCACAATTAGTGAGAAAGATGAAGGTATCGAGTGTTATTCATGCTGCTTTACATTAGAATCCTATCAAAAGCATAAGACGGTGGTGCTGGGAATTCAACCAATGCGAGTAGGAACATTTCATGTCCGTGGATGCTTTATACAGACACTAAATATCAAAACCGTCTTCCAACTCAGGGATCCCGTGAGCATCCGTGTTGTGGGTGAGCTGCCGATAATATCACTCAGTCTTCGTGATAACAGCCCAATGGCGCTTTTTGACGGAACGAAGGCTTGGACACCTAGAACACCAGAACATGCTAAAGTGCAACTTGCAATGTTTGTTTCCGAGACAAGGCGATGTGTGCTTCGTCTTCGTTGTACTGGAAATCGTCAAGTCACTAATTACAGATTGGCAGTTTCCGTGCAGCATCGCCTTGCAGTGAAGAAAACGTGTGTGCTTTTCAACAATTTACCGTCTGCATTAACAGCTGCAAATGATATGATGCAAGGAAGCTGTGTGATAAACAATGGCACGAAGATTGATAAGCAGATTGGGACAAAAATGCTCATCTTGAGATGCAGCGACTTCTTGACGTCTCCACTTCCACTCAAACATGGTGATTGCATGACAATTTCTTTCGACTTGACTCTTCGAGGAATATACGAGCAACAAGAGCAACTGAATGATGGTGTTAAGATTGAGTGGAGCGTTGTGTATGCCGATGAGACCAGTACTTTAATGGACGAGACTTTTTATCGAGAAACAAAACTTATGCTGCAACTCGTGCCACTTCCAGCGCTTCAGCTACAGTCAGTGACGTTGCTTCCCTGTGGTTCTGAGCAGATTCCAATAAAGTGTCGAGCACCCCAGCACCATCGCAATGGCTTTGAAGAAACAACTGATCATTTGTATTTTGGTATCGTGATCAACGTTACAAATCCAACGAATACAACGTTCAAATTTCGAATACGCAATAAATTTGGAAGCAGCAGTGAAGTAGCTTGTGAGGCAAAAATTGGTCAACAATGCTCTCGCCGATTTGTGGTCGAAGTTTCGCGCATACAGAGATTCGATTTTGACGAGAAAGATTTCAACCCTGTTGACGTATTGAATAGTTTATTGGAGATTGAGTGGGAAACACATTATGGAGCACGAGGACGCCTGATTCTCGGGGAAAAACATCTGAAATCAATCGTTCAACTGGAACAACTAAAACAAGAGCTTTTGTCACCACCAATTAGGTTCACGATCCAACCATCACGTAAAGTTCCAACCGTGTCAATGGCAGATGAAGGGCATAATGGATATACGAGTAAATCGAAGCATGGAACGGAAAGAATTTTATCACGTCTGTCATCAAAATTCTTTCATATGACTAACTATCCAGTCAGATACCGGAATGTAGAAGTCAGATTGTTTGAATATGCTCCAATTGCTATTCTAATCGAACCGGCAAGTGGTAACGTCGAGCATTTAATATCAGGTGTGGAGGTAGAGGTGACGATTTCTGAGGAAGAAACGGAATTTTGTGTCGAAATAAGTGACAGCGTGATGGTCGTGGGCTTGCTAAAAACCCTCTTGAAATGGACCAATCCGATGGATGCGAGTCCCAAGATTCACGAGATCCAGTGTATGTTTCTGTCCGAGGGTGCTTTTCGTATTACAGTGTGCGGTCGAATGCTTGATGTAGGTGGAAAGCAGGTAGGAAGTAAGATTTGGTCTCACCAGCCACTGCATGTGCGCGTCCGATCAGAAGACGCACTTGCGAGTGCTATTTAATAAAAGTAATTGTAAAGTACAAGTAAGCTAAGATTTCATCTTTGAGCTGTTGGAGGGACCCAGCTTTTTTTGTGACTCCATACGAAACATATTTAGTGTGTTACAGGAACGTTTATTTACGTCAGACTATAAGTAAATGGTAGCTAATGAGCACTTTCAGATCCGCAATTTGCTCTGGGATGAGCTTAAACTCAACGTTCCTGCGTCAGAAGAAGTAGAGCTGCGAAGCGCTCTCGGAAGTCATTTAATTGAAGGAAACGAGGTTTGACGTGGTGTTGATGCGGACGTCAATATATGTTCATTGAGTGATGAAAACTGCCTGTTTAGGATTTACGGCAAGAACTGGTGGTGCTAGTCGACATTCTTAGCGATTTTCAGCAGCAAAATGATGACATTCGGGTACATTTGGATTTTGACACACCCTTGTCTGCTTTTCTATTCATTGGTGCGGCTTGTCTGCAGGATGCACTGGCAAAACGTGTGCACCTACCTGAGCCTCCAGGCCGATATTTGCTGATTGGAAAGCTGAAACTTCTGGCTGGCGATATGCATGATTATTCGACCAGTGGTGTCATTGAGTCTTCAGAAACTGCCGAAATGCTACAGTATGTGTTTTCAACGGTGGACAGGTCAAATTCTTACACCTTCCAATTGCCGATGACGCGAAAAGAGAGCGACATACAATATGGACAGAGGACAGGGGATCAGGCAGATAGCATCACCATTCGTCAGGGCACGAGAAATGGCAAAACCGAGTTGACAACCTGCTCTCCACGGCCAGTTTCTAGAGGCTCGACACGTTCTATCTCTTCGATCACTGCTATGTTTGAGAGCTCAGAGGTTCGCCTCACTTCATTAAGTGAACTGCTCACTTAGTATTAACGATTGTTCTTATTTTCAGTTGCTTCGGGGTATAAATCTAGATGGACTTGACGGGATTACAGAAGACCTACAGAAGGCACTTGAGGAAGAGCGCCTTTTACTGCTTGATGACATTGATTTCATTCATGTATAAAATCGGCTTCTGGCATTTAAGTACTAGCTTATGATTGAGATATATGACATTTTGCATATGCACTGCAGGGCTGCTTGGAAATGGAAAAGGATCTCATTGACGATGATCGACGAAAAGTTGATGCTGCGAAGCCACCTCCGTCACTTCAAAGGTTACACCAATTTCAAAAGACGTTGGAGAAAACCATGCAAGATCAGGTATTTTTACGTCTCTTCGAGGATATGACCTATAGACGTGACTTGAGCAATGTACATTTTGATCATTGCACAGGAAACACTTGAAAGAATGGAAAGCGTAATAAGCAAAGCACATAATTCAAGTCAAGTTCGAAATACGTAAGGTCTGAAATTGTTGCTTCAAATGTGACGCATTACTCTACTTCCGTGTCCTGTGCAGACTGATCCCTGTACACCAGTCAGATCTCCCGATGCGCATGCACACAGATTCTACACGCCACCCAACCCATTCACCTCTCAGTTCCTTACCGTCGACTTCAAAGCCACGCACTGCGTCAGCAACTCGAGTGCTTAAGATTCGACAGGTTGTTCAAGAAAATCGAGATGAATCGTATTTATCGTAATTGGCTCATTGCTTTGCGCTTGAAAGTCATGCTAATGATGAAGAGGTGAATTGATTGGTGCGACACTGAAAGTACCTGAACTACTATTATTCATCAGCAGGGTGTAGCCCAATTTCTGAAAATTCGGGGGGAGTGTTTGGCTCCGTGGGGTCCGGTTTGGTCGAACAAACAAGGTGAGATGGAGGTAGCGAATCACCGGTGAATACCTCGTTAATCACCTTGGTTGGACTTGCTCGACCTCGGTCTAAAACGTACTTTAAAATATGAGGAATCTCATTAACTTGAGACAATATGGCGTCGTGAAGCTGTGAAACAAGTGCAACATATAGCTGAAGTGTTCAAAAGTAGCATGAAGTGTAAGAAGATCAGCTATCATACTGACAAGCGTAAAAACGTACCCGGTTCATTCCAGATAATATACTTGATTGTTTGTTGCATTCGGGATACAAAGCTCCATTTCGCAGGGCTACAACACATTGCAACGATGTGTTTATAAGCACACAGGCGAAAGGAAAGTGCCGAGATGGATGTTGCGAAAGAGCATAAAAACGGTGACTGAGATCATGAAAATTTTCTACGAGGTACAACATCTGTAGCAATGAGAGAACGCCACATCCTCTCAGGTCAGTAGACGGGTCTGTACCCTGAAATCCAATACTTTCCCAATGCATTCCAATCAAAGATACATTTCGAGAGCTTGTTGTCACCTTCTTGTAAATAGTTTGCAACATTCTGATTACAATTTTGTTATGACCATCAAAAGCTGTCGCTGCGATGCAGAAAACGCGGTCGCGCTCTTCTGTGGACCCTTCAAAAGTAAGGCGAGGACGCGATAAGCAGGCAAAGCAAGATCGGGTAGTAAAATCTTCAGAAATAATAAGGTCTTTGTGTTGCATCACGTCAGGAGTCTCTGTGTAATACGTTGCTGCTTCAGCATACGATAGAAAAGCGGATTCTACATCATTGCTCGAATTTGAAGCAACAGGAAAGTCAGGGATTTCTTTTAATTGTCCATGCTGCACCAGTTTGACCTCTCTCCACTCTGCCGAACCATCGACATTATTCATTTCAGAGATTGATGACCTTCTAACGTTATCCTCACTACTCGTTTCCAAATCAAATTTGTTCCTTCCGTGATTTGACATTTTCTCCTCCTCACTGTCATTACCATCGGCTTCTTCCACGATCGTCTTGGACAAGGTTTGATCCTGACCAAAAAGTCGCCCAAGAAGAGATGCCGGTTGGCCGACAAAAGATTTCGAATCATCTTTATCGTCCAACAGAACTTCTTGATCTCCTAGTCCACGCTTGTAAATATTGTGCAGCTCAGTCAATGACATTGAATTCGAGGTATCAACCGGCATGACTTTTGCTTTATCGGGCTGAGTAGGAACGTGTGTGATATTGCGTCTCCTTTCTTCGTCCGTTTCTCGCTTGAGTTCGCCAACAATTTTCTCGTGTTCTTTTCGCTGTTGAGCTTCATGCGTGCCGAGACAAACTTTGATATCAATCTTCGAAAACACACTTGGATTGACACCAGAATTCTCGTCAAAATCAAATTCATCGTTATCTGTCGGTAGGCTAGAACTCTCAGGTTTACCTGTCGAGACAGAAAAAACCAAGTCACTTTCTAAAGCCATATCATTTTGGTGTCCGAAATCCCCCGAAAAAAGATCACTCGGGAGCGAATAATTTTTGTTAGCTTGATGTGCGTCCGACTTCTTTCGCTTTCCTTGGTAGTGAATGCCAAACATAACGTCGTTGTTGCTTTTGCGTGTTTTGGAACCTCCATCCATCTTGTGAACGTTAGAGGACGGATTGCTAGATTCCAGATTCGTCATGTGTGCTTCACGAATTATTTCATCTGGATGGAAGTCTCGTTCATTCTTGTCAACTATTTTCTTGCTCAAATAATCTTCCAAATCAGCACATTCTTCCTCAGAAAAGCTCAAAACTGATTTTGGTTCAGAAATGTGCTCCGCCAGCCGTTGATTCTCTTCAATTTGAAGACTGCTAACTACCGCTGCGTCAATTTCCAGTATGTCCTCGTCATCGTCCTCTGATGCATACGATTGCAATGGAGGTGGTAATGACATCTTTGCATCATCCTCTTCGTCTTGAGAGTCGTCTGATTCAAGGTAGTCATCTATAGGGTTCATCAATCCAACAATTAATGTGGTTGGGATCGGTGGAGGCATGACGGCAGTCGATGATTCCCCATTCTTCGTCCCATGTATTTCTGATGAAAAAATTTCCTTGACTTTGTTTGCGCCTTCAACTTCCTCGGATCGGTCAGCATTTAAAGATATGACCGCATATGCGTCATCATGATACTGAAACATCTCAGTATCTGATTCCCGTTCCTCTTCTACTTGGCCAAAAGTGTCTACACTTAAAGGAGCAGCATGCATTTGGCTTGGAGTGACCGCATCATTTTCATAGTTAAAATTCGGATACTGATGCTCATCCTGCTCCTTTGTGATATTTTCGTTTGTATTAGCTGCACTATCAAGGACACCTTGCTTCACAGTTTTGTGTCCAAATCTCGATAAATCTTCATCGTGGTTTTCGAAAGCATCATCAGATAAAGCCGCATTCAAGCTGTTCTCTGACATGGATTTTGTCAAATCGAATCATTTCGCCAATTCATTACATCATGCGCACCAAACATCGTGGATCGCGGTGATGGAAGTACCGCCTTAAATTCTTCAGCCTCAATTAATTTGTCACTTTGCCCATCAGTAGCTTTCAAACATCAATTCGTAAATGACTAGTATGAGGTCTACCATCTGGAATCGTCACATCGTCCAACTTACTCAAAAGCATGTCATTAGTCACTTCTTCAAGATCTGGACACGAACATAAGTGACGTAAGCCAGAATCAGTACTACATCGAGCCATTGGCATTTCAATCAATTTCCACATCACCACAGAGAGGAAATACAGAAATGAAAAATGCAGAGACATAACAGTTAATATATACAAACCTTCAAAATTGTCGCTCTCGCTATTAACATCGTGCAACAAGTCTACAACAATAATATTGAGGAATGTATCACTTCGGATAAACAAATAAAGATGTTGATAATCCCACCTTCAAGAACGTCCACATCTGAAAGAGTGTCTGACTCCATCGAACTACAAGATTGTAAAAGTCTTCTATCTCCTTGTACAAATTTTATTAGATTTATTCTGCTCTGCCAACTGTCCAAAATTAGCGCAAAACCGCTCCTATAGAATTTCAAACTTCTGCACGAAATATTCAAAAGCAAAAATCTGATATATCACCATTGAATTCCGATGGACAAAATGTTGCTCGAATGTGCATGTCTACTTCTAGTCATGCAGAAATGAAATAACCATGACAACATCATCAGCAATACGAGAGACTGGCATTGTGCTCGCCTGGCTTACGCGCTTCGGAGGCGTGTCTTTTTGTTTATCACAGGTATTCGATACGATCAAGTGCTCGGGCCCATCCATGCTACCCACACTAAACCAAAACGGGGATATTCTTCTTTTGGACAAATTTTCCCCAAAGTTTTGGAAGCTGCAACCAGGCGAAGTAGTGATTGCCAAATCGATGTCGGACCCCCGCCGAACCGTTTGCAAGCGCATTATTGCTCAGGAGGGGGATACAGTCTGTGTGCGGACGCAATTGTCATCTGGGGTAGAGTTCCACAAGATTCCTAAAGGCCACGTTTGGCTTGAAGGAGACAACAAATACGATTCACATGACTCTCGATTTTACGGACCAGTGCCTTACGCGCTGCTACAAGGACGTGTTTTGATGAGGGTGAGCTTTATGAACAACTCGGAGAATAAAAAGATAACAACATGCTTATAATATGACAGATTTGGCCAATCAATCAGTTAAAGTGGGTCGAAAAAGAGGTGGCGCCTCAAGCATTTCGTGAGAGTTAGGGTGTTTACAATTCACGACTGCGATCGGTCTCCACGGTGGCTAAAATTTTTTGGCTGTAAAGTTGCCGCGCGTCTTCTACGATTAATTGGCGGTAACTAGCATGATTTCATTGTCGGTGGTCTGTTGTCTAACTTGAGGTGGACTTTAACATTTCTCAGCTCGCACAAACGCCGGGTGACTACAAGCATTGATAAGCTCGCTCTTACTTTCACATTATCACTCTTTCATTCGGCTAGTTTCGAAAATGTTCGTGCAACATTCGTTAATATTTGATCTCGAGTTCTGCACTCAAAGCACCAACCACCAAGGGCTCCAGTTGGTAGAATAGACACGATCAAATATTTTGAATAGTATATAACCTGCTAATTGATTGAGGTACTCTGATTATGTGAACGAACTTGTCAATCAATGATTCCTGACTAGTATTGTGGTATTGTGAAAAAATTCTTCGAATTATGACATTGGCCGCAGTTCCTACTTAGCCGGCCTCCATACTTGAAAGTATAAGAAAGCAGGCATACACAAACCTTAAACTCCAAAGCAACGCGACCGGCCCTTTTGAGTAATTCACCCTGCCAGCTGGGCCAATTTAACAGAAATATCAAGTGAGCCGGAAAAACCGACGCATCCTACAACATTCTCTCATACTTTACAGAAGTAAAGACGAATAATAACATCATCACAAGCTCCACCAGAACAACCAAATTCATCGTCTGCACTATAGAATATGATGACTAGCGCTGGTCCACCTCGCTGTGGCGGCATCACTAACGCACATTTGTATCCGATCACATACGCGATGCGTCATAATTCGCGATGCAATATAATACAGCACAAGGTATATATTTTTGTGCGATACAAAACAAGTCGATAAATGCACCAACTTTATCGTTGAAAAGGTCTTGGAATGCCACTGCTAATCAAGAAAAATTGGATTTGCATGTCATGATCTCAATCAGATGTGCTTAAAGATCATTTCTAAAAGGATATACATCGCGTTTGGTTGTGTCGAAGTGGTTAAGCTTGTCAAACTTGTTATGAATCGAGAAATCCATACCTAACCGAGAGTAAAGATACGCTCTTACTGTTTATCAAGTAGCAGACGCTCACCGCGCCCGCTATTCCTCTGCATGTTTTACAAGCTTCGTGTTGCTTCTCAACGCGTAGTGCGGAACCCCACTGCGGATTTCACTAAGATCTCTAGATCGTCTTCAACGAGTTAGTCCACCTTCAAAGTTTTGGGCTTAATAAGCTCAAATGCCACGCTGACTCTTGCTTAAATAACCACGTCTTGATTATGGTCATAAACAATTGCAGCGCTGAGACTGAGCCCTTACACAACTTAGAGTATCAGTATATTGATCTACACCTTTGCCAGTAAAGGGTTCACACGAGAGGCTAGGCAGCCAGTTGTTATGCATGTATTTAGATTTTACAATATATATTCAGTATATTTAGGAAAATCTAAACTCTTAAAATTAAAATAAAAAGTAAATAAAAATCAGTTTTGGATTTTGAACGGAAGCTTGGGTAAGGCAATAATTACTAAGCGGATTGCGATCTGCTAACTCGTACTTGTTCTCAGTATAGAACGAAATGTCGGTGACCCAAAGTACGCTTCCTCAAGCGCTAAGCTACGGCAGCCCCGCTGCACTTGGTAGCACTTGTAGTCAATCTACATCTGAGTCGTTTAGACTGATCCTCTGTGAGAATGGAGTTATTTTCCTCTTTGCCT